TTTTGTGTTGAGAACAGTTAAGATTTCGTCTCTTAGCAACTCTGAAGTTTCTAATAATGTTGTTGACTATAATCACTATGTTGTGCATTAGATCTCTTGAATTAGTTGCAAGTCTATACCCTTAAAACAACATCTCTCCAGTTTCCCCACACCCCTAACCCCTGGTAACCACCACTCTAACTCTGCTCAGTTTTTTTTTATTCCACCTCTAAGTGAGATAGATCATACAGTATTTGTTTTTCTGTCTGCCTTATTTCACTCAGCATAATGCCCTCAAAGTTCATCCATATTATCACAAATGGCAAGATTTCCTTCTTTCTCATGGCTAAATAATACTCCATTATGTGTATGTGTGTGTGTGTGTGTGTGTGTGTGTGTGTGTGTGTGTGTGTGTGTGAATTACACCCTAAAACACAATTAAGAAAGCACTACTACCTTTTAAAAAACAATGCTGGCAAACTGATACCTTTCTGTACCAAAGAGAAAAAATATGTTATTAATTATGCAATGTGTTCATTACTAGGAAGATTAAATGTGCCTTCACTGAACTATTAAATATTGAGAATGGACAAAAATAGCGAAGTTGCAATTTTACCCCTGTAATTGTCTAACAGACTATATTTTAATACAAACATTGGTTTTTCAGCCAAAATGTAGGCCAAAAAATGATCAGCAAACTGTAAAATCGGCACACAAGGGAATAAACATCCTAGGTTGACCAATTCCAACCTTAGCTGAACTCAGAGCACTAACTTATTTGAATCAAGAACAGGAACTGGTCAAATAACAATGATCACCTTTTACAGTCTTAGGTTCTTCCTTCTCCCTTATTGGATTGTGAGTTAAAAAACAAAAACAAACAAACAAAAAAATCATGAAAATTCTTAATACAGTGTGTGGCCCATAACAAGGGCTTAATCAATGGTAATATATTATTCAAGAACACAGTATCTGAATTTTCTACTCTCAAACCAAGTCAAAGACATTCTCATTACTTAAAAATAATTATATCCTATATGTTAAAAGACATGAGCTCAGTAATAACCAGAAAGTAAAGAATACTTTTCTTTGCACTTCCTCACATTCCTGGTTATCCAGTTCTATCAGGAAAAGGGTGGGAAAGAAAAGCATAAAGAAGTTCTAATAAGTAAAGAACTTCTCACTGCTGCATCACATAGAGATACAAATTTCTAAGTATATTTTCTTGATTCATATTGATTTCAAAAGACTGACACAGTCCTGATTCTATCAAGGTATCATAAATCTAATGGAGATTTACTATAGGGAGGATAGGTGCACAACGGAAAGAACAATAGAGAAAGATCTAAGAGTTCTTTATCTAAGCATTAAACCAGAAATCAACTATTAAGGGCCACAAAGTAAATACTATTGTCTTTCTGACATGGGCGCCTGTGTCACAACTCAACTGTGCCACTGTCTCAAGAAACCACCATATGTAGACAACACATACAAAATATGCATGGCTGTATTCAAATAAAACTTTATTTCTAGATAATTGAAATTTGAATTTCAGGTAATTTTCATATGTCATGAAATATTCTCTCTCTCTTTTTTTTTTTTTTTGACCATTTGAAAAATGTAAAATCTATCCTAAACTTGTGGGCCACACAAAAATAAGCAGTGGGCCACATTTGGACTAAAGGTCATAGTTTGCCAACCCCTGCATTAAACTATGCTTTGGATCCAGCCAGCGAAGATCTGAATTTTGAAGTGTCCCCAGTTAGTTATTTACAGATCCTTTATATTTGAGGCAGGGGAAAAATGACTTAGAGAATTTTAAAGGAGGGTGGGATGCTAAATTGTTCAGGTGTGTTTTTCATTCAGATTTCCTCAAGAAATAAGTCTTATCAGTTCTATCCAGGTTATGAGGAGAGGGACATAAAGACTGTATGCATATACACAGTCTGTATGTACACAGTCCTTGTGCGTAAATGAATATACACGCTTTATCCAAATCCTTAATATTGAGCTTTGTAAAAGAAAATAGTTTCTAATTGCTTCTTAGGCAATCAGAAGCAATTAGATTCTATTTATGTTAGATTCTAGCCAAACTTAAGGACATGTTCTAAAACTCAAGATGAAAGCCCACAGGTCACTTTCTACTAGTAGTCACAATTACTATTTAAATAAGATAAATTACAATAACACAACCCTCAAATACAGTGTGCAATATTCCATTGTATAAAGGTATGCAAGTATAGTAAGTTTTGGGTTACACTTAACACCTTAAAATAAAAATCTATATAGTCAAATGTTTTTTATGCTGCCTTTTACATGCTTCTGTTTCAAACCATTTCAAGTTCAAAGCCAGAACTATTTTTATGTCTATTACAGTGCTCTTTCAACACTTGTATTATGTTTCAGAACACAGTCTTTTATTTAAACTAAAAAATGTTTTCTGGCAGTGAGCACAGCCCTTTTTAGTCTCTGATAGCTTTTCTTTTTCCCTAGAGTCCATAAACATGCCAAGAAAATGAACATGTGAGTAAGAAGGAATTAGAGCAGATATGAGTCTTATGCAATACTTAAGACAGTATGAAAAATGTTTGGTATTACATATATTTAAATACAAATAACTGCTCCTAGGAAGAACATCTGCTGGTCATATTGGATGTGCCAAAACCTAAAGTTCCTTGAGGGAAGGAACTGTGTCTGATTCATCACTACATTTTTATGTAGCACACAGTAGGCACTCAATAAAAACTAGTTGCATAACACATGAAAGGCATTAACTCTACAGCACTATTTATGAAATAATAATAACCCCTACCCTATTAAGTTGGTGGTGAAGATTTTGAGATAACAGTGCTCAATAATAGTAATTTTTATCCTCATTTTAAAGAGGAACAAACTGAGGTTCAACTAGATTATATAACTTATCCAACTGTGTGCTACTGAAATAGGTGTACCTACCTATTTCAAATCTCTACCCTCCCTGATTCCTATTAAGAAACCTGCCTAAATACTAAAAATATAATTAGGCAAACAAAAAAACTAGAAAAGAAAAACGCTTGCCTCTCTAAATGGATACAAAGTCCATAGAAAAACAGACAATTGCCTGATTTTGTTAGCTTAGCACTGCATTCCTGAAATGAGGAAATGGCCATTCTCTCTGCATTAAGAGACAGAGAAATGGTAGAAATATAAGTCCCTTATTATCACCAGGGAACTACATCATGGTGGAAAAACATTTCCCCTTCACCCAATGGAACAACCAATACTTAAGAATTACTCTTCTTCCTTTAATTAAACTCTAGACAAAAGAAAATATCTTGTTGCTTCAAAAGCCATTATAACTATATAACTACCTCTTCGGGCATATAGGTCCTATTAATCGTGTAGTTTTGCTGTCTGAAAACAAGTAAAAGGTGGTTAGTCTCCAATGGCGTTTTACATATCTTAATTAAACAAAAATTTCTTAGGACTCCAAATCTGAAATTAAAACTGTTTTTGGTAACTTTTCACTCCTGGATCAAGAGTAGATTGGAGTCTACAATTAAAAGTCAATTTCAGAGGTCACTTCCAACAGCTTATGTGGTTAGCAAAAGAGAGTTCAATATTTTCACTAAATGTCATTCTTAACATTTATAACATTTCAAACTCTGAAACTTTTAAGTTCTGTTTAGTCTAATCAATTCATAGTTAATATATTAAATGTAGCTACGAGACGCCTGACGACAGTAGGGAATAAATTCTAACGTTAGTGTCAATAAATCCTTTAACACTACTATTCTTTTCAAAAGGTAGTGAAAGAGTTGGTAAATTTCCAATAAACATTTCCTTTCCAAAGTACAGTTCCTGTAGTATAGCTGGCTAAGTGAAATTAGTCAGAGAAAGGCAAATACCGTATGTCTTCGCTTATACGTGGAATCTAAAAAAAAACAAAACAAACCCACGGAGAACAAGCTTATGGTTGTCAAATGGGAGGGGTGGATGGAGAAAAACTAAAATAAGAAAAACAAATTTAATAGAAGTTTCAAAAAGCTTCCCTGTCAATTTTCCCTGTCAAATTTAAATAGAGAACTTAAAAAAAAATTCTAAAATGGAATTTAATTCAATTTTATTGAATTAATTTAATTCAAATTTATTTAAAGAGCAATAGTACAAAACATAAATACCCCTCCCACGTCTAATTAGGATGTTCAAACACCTGAGAGTCCATCAACAAATTAAAATACTATGCAGTATATGTAATAAAAAGGAAGTCTCTATTGCAGCCTTCTGTCAGCACTAAAACAGGAACACTTCATCTCAGAAACAGAAAATCTAAATCCTTCAAGTTAACAGTATTTTAACTCACAGCTTAGTGTTGCAGGCACTTTTCAGAACCTAAAATCTAAAAAAAAAAAAAAATTTCAATGGTTGTAACAAAAACCAAAATTGTGGTTTTAGGGAAATTAACTTAGAAAATAAAACCACTACCTTTTTAGTTAAAATGGTTCCAGATTTTTGATGTCCTTCCTTCCTAGGTTACAAGCAATAGTTTCTCTGCAGTCCTTCGTTAAATTCATTTCAATAATAAAGAATCTTGTATGAACACCCCAACCCGGACCCCAAAACACCACAAACTTACATTCACCACCAAAAATCAAAGAAAAATTCCTCAAAGAAACATATTCTAATAAACCAAAGCAATCTATCTTTAAACCAAGGGTCGGGGGTGGGGGCATCAATTGTTTCCAGTTCTAAATATTACTGTGGCAATTATATAGTTTTTAAAGACATAAAAACACTATAGGTTTGGGGAGGAGCTAAAATAACTTACAGGATTTGTGAAGAAATGGGAAAAAGAGTTCTAGTTTTACACAGTTCCAATCAAGCACAATCTTGGGATTATGTTTAATCTTTAATTAGACACTGAAAAGTTCCTAGTGGAATCTTCTAAATGTGTAATCCCCATTACTGCATCCACTTAGGCATGACTCTCGCTGCAATCATTAGGCGCCTTGACCTTGAGGCAACCATGACTTTGCACTCACCTTAGTTCTTCCTCCGGTAACCCATTCAATCTCAAACTATCTGGACGATCTCGTCTTCTCCTGTAGAGACCTGAATGTGAAAGTTCTTTAAGCTGTAATGCAGTCATATTTCTCTCTATACATGAATTCTTGACACTTTAAGGCATTTATGGTAAACAGCGTGGCTGCCAGGGCTCAGAAAGAAGTGTCCCTTGCGGAACCTCAGCATACCTGACCCTGAATTAGAAACCTCCAGGCAGACCGGGTGCTGAAGCACAGCTTCCTGTTTCTCTGCTGGTACACACCCTTCTCAGCGAGGCCTGGCTTGCCTTATCTCTGGGCTTTCACCTTGGGGGTGGGGGTGGGGGGGCACATGAAGGGTGGAGTAGTGACCAGAGTTGCTCGCATGATTACTAATAAGCAAAATTTAATTGTTATAAATAATCACACCAATCTTTCATAAATCTTTAAAGCATCACTCTGAATTGAAACTGGGCTAAAAAGCTCCAATAAGGTAATGACTAAAGAAGGGTCCTGCCCTATTTTATTTGCCAGGAAACCCATTAACATTTCACAAGCAGCTGTCAGTTTTAAAAGTGCCTGGTCATCATGAGCTCTTTGGGATGTTTTCCTTAAAAAGAAAAAAAAAGGCATAATTGTAAGGGAAGCAGTCCAATTCCTCCCTTTCACCACTCTAAATCCTCATTAGAAAGGAAGTGTCTTTTTTCTCCATTAACTATTACTCAAAAATTCATAAATGAAAGGTGGTTTCTTCTATCAACCTCTATTCAATGATTTTCTAAATCTGTAACTACCCATTCTGAATATTTCCCTCTCATAAAATGTGTACCTCAGTTTAATCACTATTGTAGTGCCTATGTAGCCCTATATTTATCTGTGTGTCTGATCCTAGACAGTGACAAAGTTAAGAAAAAGGTTTTGGGTTTTGGTGTGTGGAGAGTGTGGGGTAAGTTCTTTATCATTCAACTCCAAATAATGTTAGCACAAGACCAGGCAGCATTCTAGCCTGCAATCTGATTGAATCTCACTCAATACATATCACCATATCACAAATACAGGCTAGATCCTTGGCAAGTTTTAGCCAATAGTTTGACTTTAAATTCTCCTTGAGTAATTCGTATCAGCTTTTTTCCATTCTAAAATCCTCTCAACAACAAGAACACAATCTGAAACTTTTTCTTTTACACCAAGAATTAAAAAGTTAATCTACTGCCCACTCTAAGAGTATCTGTATTATGAATACAAAAATTTAAGGCACTCTACAAGAAAAGGGGTGTCTACATCTTACTCCTTCACTCAGGACATACAGATGCTGGGCAGCTCCCTAGTTCCATGGCCCCAGTGGAAAACACTTTTTATAGCAGCCACCAAAATATAAAGTATGTTTTTAAAGCTGCAGAAGAAAATTACTAATTTTGTTACTACCCTAGATTTAATTAGTGATAAAGATGTAAAAAAAAGAAAAAGTCA